TATTTAATTAATAATATAAATACCTGAATTTTGAATTTTTAAACTATAAATCTGATTTGTGAATTGGTGTAAATTATACACCTGATTTATAATTTTTTTCCCATTTAACAAATCAAACAAGGCGTAAGAATATCTTTATTTGAAAGACAAGCTTCTTAAGAAATTGAAAGGGCTTCAAGTAATCAATGGAAATATTACAGGTATTCATCAAATGTAGAATGCAAGTTATCATACTGTTTTCCTTAGAAAACAATATTCCGTAAGCTGTTATACCTTCAGCAGATGCTAAAATCCTTCATTTAGGCATTGCAATAATGGGGATTCAGCGACTCATTTAACTTATTTTTAGCTTTTCAGCATGCTATTTTATTGCTTCACACTTCATAATACCATTCCAAGGGGACAAGGAACTTATTCCTTCACAAGGAATGATTTCCATTAATCTTCTTCTATATCCACCTCACCTCACCTCACCCAGCCCCCTCCCCCGCTCCTTCTCTTCCTCTCTTTCTATCACCAGAAATTATGGAAGATCCTAACATGCTTGCTGCAGATTGCATTGTCATAACATGTTGCTGCCAATGCATGATCCTGCAAATCCTCGTCTTCGTCTTGCTCAAACTTCCTTACAAATTAGTCAAAAAGACAAAGGAATACACGAAACGATTCAGAAACCAAAAGAGACGAGAGAAGATTGTGAAGATGGAAATGAGAAGGTATGGAGAAGACAGCTTCAGAAGTCATGGGAACTCCTTTCGAATTCAAATCGATAAATCCATTGGTTCTAACTGTTGCATGGATGAAATTGAGAATGTTTTGGAGGACTTTTCAAATAGTGGGGAGTTTGCTTTTGGCAGCTTTTGGGGTGGAGAGATTTCAAGGAGATTTTCTACTTCATGTTTTAATGAAGAAGAACTTGATTATGATGTTGTTCAGTGTCATTTAATTGAAATATTTGGCTCTGTAAATTTGCCCTAGCATTTGTTAAAAAACCTTCACATTTCCATATGTTTATGATCATTTTATAAAGAAGCACACAACTCTTATAACGATGTATGCAGTATATTCCTTTCTTAAGCTACTAGAGATTAAAGTCCCGAAGCTTGCAAATTTTACATAACTGAACTCGAACGTGGGAACTTAGCTCGAGTTGGTATCATGTGAATCGCACGTTAATTAGGTGAATGCTCTAAAGTATGTACACAGAACTAGACAATAGTGGACGTGAATAAAGAATAGAGTTATGGACGATTACCTTATTATTCCTCCTCTTCCCTCCATCCATTTTTCTCTATAATTTGGATTTAAAACATAAATGAATTATTGTTATTATTGGTCATGATATGTTTTTTCACCAACCCTTTAGAGGAATCATTCTATTGGTCACATGCCAAGACTGGTTAAAAACAAGAATTCAATGAGAAAAAAATTAACCAAGAATAGAATAGGTCAAATTCACATGGCTTGGAATTATATGCACGCATTAACAATTCAATTTCATTGACCACAAAACTTAAAAGGGAAATTGTACTACTGGTATCCATTATCTCTATGTGAATTTGTTCTTCAAACTTTAAAAAGTAGGAAATTGATCCACAACATTTCATTGTAGTTGCAAAATTGGTTTTTAATGAAGAAAATCGTCCCAAAATTTTGTTAAATTATCGAGTGGCCCACGTGAAAACATACCTCACTGCAAAATATATGGGCACCAACTCAAGTTATGAAGCAAAATATAGCTTCATAAAATTAGACATATTGGGACTACATAACTTTTTAACATATTTTTTTTATCTTGCGTGACTAATTGTACGAATATAATGAAAGGTTGGAGAACAATATTGCTTCTTTTTAAAGATTGATGACCAAATTAATGCTAGAAGAATATAATGGGGACTCATGATGCAATTTCTTGAAACTTAATTTCCCATTGGTGTGACGCGGTTTCACTTTCGGATCATTCAATGATAAAAAGGAAGAATAACCCAACAATATTTGGACCAACACAAAGATTTGAACAAAAAAAGCATTGATCATTTTCTCTCTATTCTTTCTTCTAACTTCTCCTTTGCATTAGCAGACATGATGGCCGAGATTCATAGTGATCAGCTTCAACAGCTTAAGAAGATTTTCTATCGATTTGACATGGACTTGGATGGCAGCCAAACGATGCTCGAGCTGGCCCCCCGGATAGAAAATTGAAAAGGAATAATC